CCGAGGCCCGGGCACCGAGGCCCGGGCACCGAGGACTCACACCACCCAGGCCAAGGCCTGACTGGGCCAGAGGACCTGAGCCCCACCAGGCAGACACCAGGCCGAGCCGACACACGCCCAAGCGCCCAGCCCCCGACATCAAGGGCCCCAAGCGCTCCGGCAGGCAAGGGCACACCCCACCAGGGGGCCACGCGATAGGGGCGCGATGCCAAGCACCCCCAGTTGTATCAAAGAGGGGGCAGTCCGAGTCTCGGCCTAACAAATACCCATTCGTACACAGACACAATCACACAGTCCCAGCCTCATTCTCACACTCACTCACTCAAAGACATACAATAACGATACATTTCATTCTTATTCCCGATATGCACTCTATACCCCCCAGGTCCAAGACATGTACCCGCCCTCTACAGGGGACAGCCCATGCCCAAACCCAGGAGGTAGACCCATTCATTCTCAAGCGGAGAGGAGCCAATATCCCAGACCCGGCCCAGGCCACGCCCAGCTGACAGGACACCCCCCGGCACGAAGAGGTCACGCCACCGACCACACCCACACACCACCAACAACCAAGCACGCGCCCCCAACCGACTGCCCGCCAGGCCCCGGTAGCCACCCCGGCCAGCGGGCCAACCATGGCACCCAAGAGCCAAGCTCAGGGGGTCCAAACAACCCCAGGGAGAGCACAGCGCCAGCACCGCCCACGGCAATCCCCCAGACCCCGAACCCCCACATAGTCCTGGTCAACACCAGACGGCCTGTCCTTCTCCCGGACCCCACCCCCGGAATGGCAGTTAGGGAACTAGGGGGGTGAGGAAAAAAAAAAGAATAAGACCCCGACACATACACCCCCGCCCCTAGATGTGCTATTGATGTGTGTTGTTGTATAGTGCCATTAAAAAGGAAAGAAGAAGGAGCAAAGGCTGGCATGATGCCAGTTTCCCCTCCACCCCAACTCTATCCAAACCCTAGTGTCTAAATGCAACCATTGTAAGTGAGCACAGGCACAGGGGGCGAGAGTAAAGTCATCCCACCACCCATAGGCATGTGCCCACCTCAAGTTCCTAAATGTGAACATCATGAGGATGTTATGAGTGAATGTCTAAGGTGTACAATAAAATTGAGTCCCAGGTGGCTATGGTCAACAGAGATGTAAAATTGTTGCAGCACACCCGAGCCCAAACAACCCTAAATGTGTGGAATTGAAATGAAGAGGGTGGAGGTGCATGGTGAGGCTTTAACTTTGTTAAATACTTCTTTGAGATTGTGGTACTCAGCAGGGACTTTTGGAGAGGTCAGGATAAGTTTCTGTAATATTTTGAGGACTGACAGAAGGCAGAATTGCCTCGAAAAGACAGGTGGATAGACACTCTTCTGACCAACCCACTATCTCTCTTCCTCTCCAATTAATATGTGAGTTGTGTTTATTAAGCCAGGTCGAACCCAGTACAATAGGGAGGTGTGGAGAGTTAATTACAATAAACCTTAAGGTCTCTTTGTGATTGCCTCCTAATAACAAAGTGACAGGCGTGGTCTCGAGGTTCGAATCATGGACAGAAAGACCATCCAGGGCGAGAACTTTGTGCGACTTGGGAGATTGGAGTAATTCAATGCCCATAGTGCGAATTGGTGGTCGATGAATTCAGTATCTGCCCCTGAGTCAATGAAGGCTGATACTGATCTAGGTCTCTTACCAGGTACTTGGATCTCTGCTGGCACAAAGAAAGGGGAGGAGATCCTGGGTGTACTGGTCTGATTCAACAGACATCTCCTCTTACCTGTTGAGTCTGATCTTTTAATGGACACGTCGCAATTGTGTGGTTACCTGCACCACAGTAAAAACAGAGGTGCTGTCTCCTTCTTCTCTCCCTTTCCTCTGGGGTGAGTCAGCTCCTGCCCAGCTGCATGGGTTCTTCGGTCTGTGGGGTATTGGAAATGGGTACCACATGAGACTCTTTAAATGGTAAATGGACTGTACTTATATAGCGCCTTTCTATCTTATTTCAAGACACTCAAAGTGCTTTACACTACAATCTGTGTCCTCATTTACCCATTCATACAGCACTCTACTAGATCATTACAAAGCTAATTGAACAAATCATTCTAAAGAGACTAATCAGTGCTTTAGATCAAATTCATACACTGATGGGACACACATCAGAGGCTATGAGGGGTTCAGTGTCTTGCCCAGATACACTTCGACATGTGACTGCTAGTGGATTCAAACCCCCAACTCTTGCATTGGAGGATGACTGCTCTAACCCATCAGCCACAGCTGACGTTTTAGAGAAAACTTGTGACTCACCTCAGGGTCTTGGCCTCCTCGCTGCTCTGTACCCCCTGTCTCGATCTCTTTCCTGAAGGCGCAGGTCGACGCGCGTGGCCAGGTCCTCCAAGCTCTTAAGGGACTCCAGGTAATTCTGAGTTGCAAGTTCTTCTTTAATAGTGCCATTAAGACCCTGGAGAAAAGCATAAATTAAGGCCTCCTCGTTCCAACGACTTCCAGCAGCAATGGCATGAAATTCAATAATATATTCAGTGACTCGTTTGTTTCCTTGTTTTACAGAAAAAAGTTTACATGCGGCCTCCCTCTCTGGTAGCAGGGGATCAAAAACCCTACATAACTCCTTAGCAAACTCATCAAAACTGTGACAACTTCTGGAGTTTCTTTGCCACTCAGAAGTGCCCCATGACTTGGCTTTACCTGCCAGTAGAAAGATTGCGTAGGCCACCCGGGCTCGTTCTGTGGGAAAAGAGGAGGGCTGCAGCTGAAAGTTGATGTCACACTGTGTGAGAAATGGTCAACATTGATCAGGATCTCCTTAAAAAAGTTCAGGGGAAGAAAAACAAGGTTCATGAGAAGGAGTGGGGACATGAGGAGCAGCAGCCTGGACAAAAGAAGAATGAGCAGAGTTCAAAGAAGGGTTTTGCTGAGACATAGCTCTTAATATTTCCATGATTTCCTGCATATTAGTTTCAAGTTTATTTATGGCCCCTTCTACACCAGAGCACCATTCCTGGGTGGGTGCTGGATCCATAATGGCCAGATTCTACTGTCAAGAACCAGTTTGGATCAGCACATCAACACCCAACACAGAAATGGTTTAAAAAGTTTATTAGGAAATAAACAGCTTCTGGTGCAGGTCTGGGTCCGGGCCTGGGTCCGACCTTCTGTCTTGATGGAATAACAGGAGCTGTAGTCTCGCTGGAGCCAATGACATCACTCATGCAGAGTGAACAGAAGCAGCGGAGCAAACAGAAGGTGTACAGGTCCATTAAGGGCAAGTCCAGCTCCAGGGTCCAAGATGGGTAGCAGGAGTTCGAGCACAGGGAGGCAGAGAGCAGAATAAATAAAAAAAATGTGATCTTGAATCGTGGTCGGTGTGGAGACGCAGAGTAATAACCATGAGGACTTAAGCAGACAAATTCCAAAAGGGAGCAGGCTGGTCAGGTAGTCAGAAAACAGGCTTGGGTTCAGAACATGGCAGGATGCAAAGACAAGAAGTGCTGGATTTCTACTGCTCAGAGAGGTTTGAGAATCTGGCACTAAATGAGGGTGAACAGAGAGCTTAAGAAGGGAGGTGCACAGGTGCCATGAATGAAGCTGATTGCAGAGGCAGGGAGGAGGAGGCATGGTGCAGGCACATGAACTGAGTGATTGACAGGACAGAAAACACTTGGCAGGCGAAAAAAAAACGTGAAACTAGACAGGCTGAAGTAGTAAAAAAAAGGGGCAAAAACATGACAATAACAATGAAATGTATCCCATGCTGTTTAATAACTTTACCTAATGGAAGCATACTGTATATAAAGTAAAGAGTATTGGTCCAAGCACTGAACCCTGAGGAACTCCATGACTAACTTTGGTGTATGAAGAAAATTTATTATTTACATTTACAAACTGGAATCTATCAGATAAATATGATTCAAACCAATTTAGAGCTGTTCCTGTAATCCCAGTACCATACTCTGTAGCAGAATATTTAATTATAACTTTATTTAGACAGGTTAATCCCATTGAGCCTTGGGGACTCATTTACAAGAGAGACCTGAATATTGTGATCAACTGTATTTAATGCAGCACTGAGGTATAACAGGACCAGTGTTGCTACCTGTCCATTGTCAGAGACCATGAGGATATCATTGGTAACTTCCATCAGTGCAGATTCAGTGCTGTGATGCTCTAAATCCTGACTAAAACTCTTCAAACAGATTATTTATTTGTAGATGTTCACACAACTGACCTGCAACTAGTTTCTCTAGAATTTTTAGTTGAAAGTTAGATTAGATATATGCCTATAATTGGCTAAGATTCCTGAGTCAAGGTTATGTTTCTTAAGTAAAGGTTTCATTAAAGCAATCTTAAAGCTCTGTGGGATGTAACCATTTATTAGAGACAAATTAAATAGATCCAAAATGTGGACATTAATTAGGAGAAATACCTCTTTAAACAGTCTGGTTGGGATGGGATCTAGCAGACATGTGGATGGTTTGGATGCAGCTATTATTTTTGTATTCAGTGAGCTAGCAGGTCCTCATTTGTGTCAAATTATTTATAGACAAATACGCAGTGGGTAGAGCAGTTGCCTTTCAGCAAGCAGGTCCTTTGTTCAAAGCCCAGTCCAGGGACCTTTCTGGGTGGAGTTTGCATGTTCTCTTCGTGCATGCGTGGGTTTTCTCCAGGTACTCCGGTTTCCTCCCACAGACCAAAAACATGCATGTTAGTCTGATTGGTAACTCTAAATTGTCTCTAGGTGTGAGAAAGAGAGAGTGAATGGATGTTTGTCTCGTTTGTCTCTATGTGTCCCTGTGATGGACTGGAGACCTGTCCAGGGTGTACCACGCCCCTCACACAGTGATTGGGTTTTTTTTTGGTTTTTTTTGTGGGGGTGGGGGGTGGGGGGGCATTGCTATGTTTTTTCTTTCTTCTCCTCTCTAAAACTATCACAATATGTCAAATATATAAAGTCATAACTTTTTTTTTTTCTCTCTTCTCCAAGATCTTGTCATCTGTGTACAGACGGCAGCTGTTTGTTGCCCTCATGATGCATCTCTCCCAACAGTTGTCTGGCATTAATGCGGTGAGTGGCAAAGTACCTTTGGATTTCATTAACTCCAAAATATATTGTTTTTCATGCCACTTGAACTAAAAAAATCATAGATGGGTCTATTGTGCAAAATATCTTTAAACATGCCTAACTGAGCAAAAACTTGTGTTGTTTGAATATGACTGTGGTTTTAGATAATATTTATTTCACTTTGTTTCCAAGATCTTTTATTACTCTACAGCAATCTTCTCACAAGCTGGTGTTGCTCAGCCTGTCTACGCAACAATAGGAGTTGGTGCAATCAACACAGTTTTTACCCTGGTTTCTGTGAGTGAACACAAAGCACCAGTGCACAGTGATCACATACACAAAGTCTACCATCTTTCCATTGGACAGTTTCCCACATCAGGACATATATAATGATTTGTTTTTAACCAGGTTCTAAATATTTCTCTGTTAACCTCAAGGTACAAAAACACACAACAAAACCCACCATGTCATCATTAATTTTTAAACAAAGAGAAAACCAAAATAGCAAGCGATACGCCAATGTCCCCCATCCACCGCTGAAGCATTTGAATAGTGAATGTTTGTAGTTTTTATAAACAGGTTGTTTATTTATTTTGGCTTGTTCAAGGCAGCACGGACAGATGGCTTCTGGCAAGCAGCGGGAACTATTTTATCCATCACCAGGTGCAGTAGCAAAGTCAAGGGGTGGCCAATGTGGCCTTGGTCACCCCAAGGGCCACTCCGATTATTTGAGGAAACAATAATTTTAAGTCCTGTAAAACATTAGAATGCATAGTTTCCTGAAATGATTGGGGTGTGAGGACTCTAACGTTTTTTTTTTTTGTTTGTTTTGTTTTGTGCCACTGATCACCCTTCTTGCAGCTCCTGGTATATTTGATCTGCAAAGATGACATGGGGTGGCCAGTTTACATATATATAAATATGGTAGTATTCATCTTGGATTTTGATTTGGCAACTAAATTTTTGATCAGGACATTTTTGCATGCAGCCACAGACCAAAATGGAAGTTAGCACATTGCTTATTTTTCAAGTGATTCAACTCTTAAGCATGAACTTTTTTACAAATAGACATATATGGTGGCAGTCATATTGGATTTTGACCTGGCAATCCAATTTTTGAAAGGAAACTTTCTTTTGTCTAGATGTAGCCACACACCACAATGGAAGTCAGCACATCACTTGTTTTTCACGTTATCATGCCCACAGCACAGATGGACGGATGGACAGAGTGTATTTCCAATTCCCCCTTTTTGTTCTGCAATTGGAGACAAAAAAGAATGTGTGAGGAAAAGCTGCACACACCTCACGATCCAGCAGCTTGTAGAACCTACTGTTGCAGCAATAACTCAAAAGTTATTTTCTGTACGACTGTATTCATTCAACCTTTATTTATACAGCTTAGTCTTATTGAGTATTAGTTTCTCACATGGATGAGAATGAATTTTGGGCCACTTTTCTTTATAACTCTGCTTCAGATTATTGAGGTTTGCAGACATTCATTTCTTTTTTGCTCTTTCACAGTTCCTTCACAGCATTCCAATTATGGTGAAGTGCAGACTTTATATTGTATTGTTGCAATACCTTGATTCTTAATATTTTAGCTGTTCTATTGTAGATGTACTGATCTGTTTGGGATCATTGTCTATTTACATCATGACCAAGTTTGGTCCAAGTCTGCTGTCAGACAGATGAAGTCCTTTAATATATAAAACAAGGCCAATGGATTGAGCCACGGACTTTGTGGGGGGTGTTGTCTCCTGAGAAGGCAGGCAGCAGCCTTAAATGTTTTCCACTTGTGATTAATATTTCTCTCCATAGATTTATGGGCTTCAAATAGTTTAGAAATTACCTTTAACCCTTCCCAAATTGATGAGAAGCAAAGGCTACTTCTCTAAGATCAATGCCGTTGCCTTTCCATCTTGGCATTTTGTTTATACACACCTTCATGCTCCAGAGCAGCAAACTGACTAAATTTCTTCTCCTTTCTGATTAAAAAATAATGTGTTTTTGTATATCTGATGTTAAATTGAAAATATTTTAGAAGATGTTAAAACCAGATCATTTTTATAAGATTCTGAAACATAAAACTGTAGAACTGAACAAGATAAAATAATATTTTTATCATGATTGTATGTCTACCATGAGAAAGAAGCACAAGGATCAACTTATTCTGTATATGAAAACACCCAGCTCAGAAGGTCTTTGTGTTCCAGGTAGCACTTGTAGACAAAGCTGGAAGGCGCACTTTGACTCTAATTGGTCTGGGAGGTATGAGCTGCTGTGCGATTGCCATGACAGTGGGCATAAAGTTCCAGGTTTGTTGAGTTTAATCCTTGAAATCATGAGCTAAATAGTAAATGTACACATTAAACAAACAATATAACTTGCTAGCTTAATATATACAACATATTTCTTACAGATACAGATAAATTGCATGAATGTTAGTTGATATGCAGTTTGGAGTACGAGTTTGGAGATCATCAAAGTTCATGCTCAAAAATACAGGTAGAAAATCCAACATTGATGTTTTGAACCACTTTGGCCATGACTGCCTCAGAAGAGTCGGTGGGGGAGAGGGCAGACTCCAGAAACCAACTATCAAACTGGTTGACCCACTATGTGAAAGTGCTATTCATAAGACTGAGCTTGTTGTGGCTCCTTGGACTGAGGAAGTCTTTTGGATGAAAGATAAAATGTTTCAATAAAAAGAAACCATCCAGAGGACCAGACTTAACATTGTTGGATGTTTTCCCTGGATTATTGAGCATGAACTTAATTTTTTTGTTTTTGAAACGTTTCGTCTTTCATCCAAAAGACTTCTTCAGTCCGAGGAGCCACAACAACTTAGTTCTTAAGAATAGCATCTTCACATAGTGGGTCAACCAGTTTGATGGTGCTCAGATGGTTTCTGGAGTCTGCTCCCCCACCCCCACCCCCACCCCCGCTCACCAACTTGTCTAAGGCAGCCATGACCAAAGTGTTTTAAAACATCAACTGTTGGATTTGCTACCTGGATTATTATTGAGCATGAACTTTGATGTTTTGGCCATGGCTGCCTCAGACGAGTTGGCGAGCGGGGATGGGGGGCAGACTCCAGAAACCATCTGAGCACCATCAAACTGGTTGATCTACCATGTGAAGGTGCTATTTATAAGACTGAGTTTGTTGTGGCCCCTCAGACTTATTAAGTCTTTTGGATGAAAGATGAAACGTTTCAACAAAAAGAAACCGTCCAGAGGATCTGACAACTTTGTTGGATTTTGAGGTCAGTTATCTATCAATCTTCTTCTTTTGGCTTTTCCTCTTCAGGGGTCTCCACAGCAAGTCATCCACCTCCATCTCACTCTGTTCTCTGCATCCTCTGCCCTCACTCCAACTACCTCCATGTCCTCTGTAACTGAATTCATATATATCCTCTTTGGTCTTCCTCTTTTTCCTGGCAGCTGCATTTCTAACCTTCTTCTACCAATATACCCACTGTCCCTCCTATGGACATGTCCAAACCATTTCAGTCTGTCCTCTAACTTTATCCCCCAATTGTTCAACCTGTGCTGTACCTCTGATGATCTCATTCCTAATCTTATCCATCCTTGTCACTCCTAAGGAGAACCTCAACATCTTCATTTCTGCTACTTCCAGTTCCTTCTCCTATATTTTTTGTTAATGCCACTGTCTCAAGACGTGGGACACTCTGGAGGCATGGAACCACCTGGAAGTGTTGAACCCTCTGGAGGGGTGGGACCCTCACAAGGTGTGGGACCCTCTGGAGACTCAGGACCCTCTGGAGATTCTGAACCCTCTGGAGACTCAGGAAACTGGACTCAGGACATCTGGAAACTCCTGGACATTTGGAGACTCAGGGACCTCTGGAAATTCAAGACCTCTGATGGAGATGTGAGGACCTCTGGTGGAGACATGAGGACCTCTGGTGGAGTCATGAGGACCTCTGGGGGAGATGTAAGGAAGGACCTCTAGTGGAGATGTGAGGACCTATGGTGGAGACATGAGAACCTCTGGTGGAGTCATGAGGACCTCTGGTAGAGATGTGGAGATGTCTGGTGGAGACGCGAGAACCTATGGCGGAGACATGAGGACCTCTGTTGCAGATGTGGAACTCTCTGCAGACACGAGACTCTGCAGACGTGGAACTCTGCAGATGTGAAACTCTCTGCAGACGTGGAGCTCTCTGCAGATGTGGAGCTCTCTGAAGACTTGTAGTTCTCCTAAGACACTGAGCTCCCTGAAAACTTGAAGCTCCCTGAAGACTGCTTCTTTGACTGGTCATGATTCAGTCATTTCTTTGTCTAATCAGGACTCAGTTGCTTTTCAAGCTGATCAGAACTCAGCTGCTTCTCAGGTTGATCAGGACTCAGTAACTTTGTTGATGAGTGGGGGCTCAACTGCCCCTCCCCCTGCAATATTTTCCACTGCTCTTCCAGCTGTGCTTGGGGAGAACTGGGTGGAAGAAGGAGCTGGAAGTCAGCGGGTTTGGCCCGTCTCTGCTGTCGGCACCTCCTGCAATGGCAGTGGTGCAAGCCAGGACCAGGGACAAACCTGAGTTCTTCATTGGGGTCAGGCTCAAGTGATGAGTTAGGCTGCAGGAAGGAGGAACAACCAGGACTGGATGACAAGTGGCTTCTGCAGAGCTGAGACCTCCTCCTCTACCAGAAGAGGTGAGGAAAAGACCTCTACCTCCGGGGTGTGGCGTTTCTGTCTCTGGGTAAGTTCGGTCTGAAATTCGCTTCACTAGATGACGGACTTCTCCTTCTGCGATTTAGCCTCACTGGGATGAATAAAACACACTGGAGGTGCGGGGGGTGGGGGGATCCTGGGTTGGCTGAAGTCCAGAAAGGTGGGTGACAGATTGAAAACTTTCAGAGCTATTCACTCTTCCAGAGTCTCCTCAAGAACCTTTAGCATCCCAGCAGAATCCACCAGTCCAGGCAGCCGTGGAAACTTATCCAAAAAATAATAATTCTAGCCACCCACATAACCAGTAGCCTACTGGTTGGAGGTAGCCACAGTGTCCACATAGCTGTTGTACCACCACTTCCTGGTCCACAATTTCTAAGATCTCTACTCTTTTTTCTTTTTCATTCTCTTCATTCATTAGCTCCTCAAAGTAGTCCTTCCATCTTCTTGTCACACTCTCCTCATTTGTTAGAACATTACAATTCCTATCTGTAACAAGCCTAACCTGCTGCATCCTTTCCAGCCTGATCCCTCTGTCTTGCTAATCAGTACAAGTCCTTCTCGCACTGTTTAGTGTCCAGTCTCCCATACAACTCATCATACACCTTCTGCTTTGCCTTTGCCACCTCCCTCTTTGCTCTACATTGCATCTCCTTAAATTACTGTCTCCTCTCTTCAGTCCTCTCACTGTCATATTTCTTCTTGGCTAACCTCTTTCTTTGAACAGCTTCCTGCACTTCACAATTATACCACCAGGTTTCCAAATCATCCATTATCTGTCCAGATGACACACCAAGTACCTTCCTACCTGTTTCTCTAAATTACTGTTGCAGTAGTAGTCCAGTCATTTGGAAGCTCTTTCTTACCACCCAGTGCCTTTAACAGCTCCTCATTGAATTTCTCACATTATTCTTCCTTCTTCAGCTTCCACCATTTGGTCTTCTTCTCTGATTTTGCTCTTTTTCTCTTCTTCACAACAACAGTCATTCTACACACAGCCATCGGATGATGTCTGGCCACGCTCTCCCCTGCCACAACCTTGCAGTCCCCAATCTCGCTCAGGTTTCCTCTTATACACAGAATGTAGTCGACCTGTGTACTCCTTCCTCCACTCTTATAGGTCACACTGTGTTCCTTTTTCTTTTGGAAATAAGTGTTGACTACAGCTATTTTCATTCCCTTAGCAAAATCCACCACCATCTGTCCTTCCTGGTTTCTTTCCTTGACACCAAATCTACCCATCACTTCCTCATCCCCTGTTTCCTTCACGAACATGTCCATTCAGGTCTGCTCTGATCACCACTCCCTCCTCCCTGGGAATACTTCTCTATCACTTCATCCAGATCTTTCCAATATTTATCTTTCTCCTCCACATCACATCCAACCGGCAGAGCATAACCACCAACAAAGTTTAGCATCAGACCTTCTACTTCTACTTTTAGACACATCACCCTATTTGACTCTCTTTTCACATCTACTACATTCTTTGCCAACTCCTCTTGCAGGACAATCCCTACCCCATTTCTCTTTCTAGCTACACCATAGTAAAACAGTTTAAACCCTGCTCCAATGATGCGAGCCTTGCAACCCTTCCACTTCATCTCTTGAACACATAAAACATCTACCTTCCTTCTCTGCATCGTGTCAGCCAGATCTCTGTCTTTGCCTGTCATTCTCCCCACATTTAGAGTTGCCACCCTCAGTCCTACATTCTTGACTTTCCTCTTCTCCCTCTGTCTTCTGACATGTTTCCCTCCTCGTGGTAATCGGCTTACAGTAGCAAAATTTCCACCGCATCCTGTTTGCCAATAGTACCGGTGGCGATCGTTGTTAACCCGGGCATCGATCCATCCGGTATGGTTTCGCTTTAATGAACTTGCATTATAGTTTTGGCAAAAGTCCAACAATGTTCAGTCAGGTCATGTGGACGGTTTAATTTTTTGTGCTGTGACATTTTGCCCTCCATCCAGAAGGCTTTATTAGTCTAAGGAAATACCAAACAAAACTAATTCTCCCCCAACAGCCTACTCCAAAGTGGAAAAAAACAGTTTTGTTGGTGACCTCTGGGGCACGCCCTCTCCTCCGGTGCCTGCCCTCTCCCTTGTCGACAGTCATGTCAAATTGTTTCAAAACACCAAAGTCCATGCTCAATAATCCAGGTATAAAATTCAACAATGTTGGTGAGGAGTTACCTTTATCAGCCTCTATAAGACAGGTGTTGTCTTTTTGTTCCCTGTTAGCGAGGCATGCACTTATAATCAGATGATGGGGGGCTGCTCCTCCAACTCATAAACAGTGTTTATATGACCTTATATCATGCTTGAAACAAACAAAAAAAAAGATGTTCTCTTCAGCACTCTACTGGGAAATTAAAAAAAAAAACACGGGGCACCTTTTTTATGCATTTCAAATGATACAATAATATTTCAGGTGAATTCTTTTTTATTATTATTAAAATGTGCTCTCCCTTCTTGCCAAGTGTAAGGATGTAATGTGCAGACATAGGGCAGTGACCAGGATAGGAGTGAATGGGATTATTTTGTAGGGATTATTTTGATTAATTTTATATTTTTGTTTAAGTATGTTGTTTAAACAGACCATATGTATGACTCCTTTGGATCCACGGGTTCCTATTTGTATGTATAAAGGGAAAAACTTTAATAAAAAGACAGTGATTGAAAAAAAATTTCAACAATGTTCAGTCAGGTCATCTGGACGGTTTCTTTTTTGTGCGGAGACATTTCGCCCTCCATCCGGAAGGCTTCATCAAAAAGAAACCGTCCAGATGACATGACTGAACACTGTTGGATTTTATACCTGGATTATTGAGCATGAACTTTGGTGTTTTGGCAAAAGTGTTTTACATCAGATGCCCTTCCTGATACAACCCTCACCATTTACTTGGGCTTGGGATGGGCACAAGAAATCCACTGACTTGTGCTCTCTAGTGGCTGGTTCATGTAGCTGTTGCTGTTTTACATAGTGAGTTATATATCAATACTTTTACATATTGTTACGAAGCAGAAAACGGGAACATATTTTAATCTCATGTTGTTTTTCCCTTCAGAATGACTTCTCATGGATGACCTACATCAGCATGTCTGCTATCTTCCTCTTTGTGAGTTTCTTTGAGATCGGTCCTGGTCCGATTCCATGGTTCATAGTAGCTGAGCTGTTCAGCCAAGGGCCTCGACCTGCAGCCATTGCTCTTGCAGGCTGCTGCAACTGGACCAGTAACTTCATCATAGGCATGACTTTTCCTTACATCCAGGTAGGAAGACAGACCAACTGTGTATGCACATCATGTTGTTGGAAAAGCTTTCTCTTGGAGAACGTCTGACCTCATTTTTGTTACACTTCTCACCAGGCTTGGTTGGATTGTTACGTGTTCCTCCTGTTTGCAGTGCTGCTTTTTGGCTTCACGTTGTTCATTTATCTCCGTGTCCCTGAGACCAAAGGCAAAACGTTTGAGGAGATTGCTTCCATGTTTCAGAAGAAATCTAGGACTCCAACAGACATTGCTGAATTGCAGCAGCTCAAAACATCATCAGACGCTTAAGTGTCTAGTTTTATTATTCATCAGTATTAACAGAAAAAAGATCACATTTTTGCAGCAAAAATTTTTTGTGTTGAGATTTTTACATAAATTTTTGATTTAAACACTTATTGCACATCTGATAGTTGTCATTGCTATAAAACAGGTTAATATCGGCAACAAACTTTGTGCACTTTGTAAAAAGGTTACATTTGTTTTTGACCCTAGCAAGACCAATGACTCACCTCTGAAGTTTAATCCAACTTCTTATCATGTTTTGCCATCGCCATTGGACGTTTATGGTTTTATTAATTTAATTTAGTTTTAATGTCTTCTTACAAAAACTAAAAAGGAAAAACAACTAGCAGGTGTAAACACTTACAGACTTCAAAAAGCGTTCAATACAAAAACAACTGGACTTTATTTGTAACAGAAGACGTTTCGCTCCTCATCCGAGGAGCTTTCTCAATTCAAACAGCAGTGAGTGAGAGATTCAGGTTATAAGGCTGAGTGAGATAAGACACACACACATATGTAGATTGTTTTTGTACTGAACACTTTTTGAATTCATCATGTCCTGGATGACTGAGAATCTTCACCAGCATAATACTTACAGACCTATTTACAAAAAGTTTGGATGTGGCAACAGAAGACTATAAAACAAAGTGATATAACTAAGAAACAGCTTGAGGAGCATTTGGAAACTAACTGGGTTCATTTGCAACAAGAAAATTAAGTATAAAAAGAATTTTAGACAGGCTGACTATATCAGAAGTAAAGATGGGCAACAGTCTTCAGAAATCTGTGTCTATAACTAGTGAGTTTTAGAAAAATGTTTGTCAAAAAAATATTGGAATGACATTGAATATTGTTACATTCCACTGCTTTTATTACTTTTTGTCACTAAGTGCTGCTGTGACAGCACAGAGAAGAAGATTGTGTTCAAGAAAATACAGAAGAATAAAGAAACTGAATTGTATTCTGTAATAGCATATTCACAGTTACAGTAATAAAATGTGTGGTTTACCATCATCTCCCATTTCTTTACTTCAACATTACATCCAACAAACCGTTGGTTACGTACTGTAACCCCAGATTCTATGAGTATAGGCGTAGCCCTTTAAGGCTGTCGCTTGTGGGTTTTATCCCATCACGCAAAGTGTCGCACTGAAAAAATTTAGTCCACGCCCACCTGTCGTGTGGGCCCCACCCGGTCCGTATGAATTACGTTGAGAGCGGGTAATCGGCTCCCAAATAGTGTTTTTCTTCAGCCATTTAGGAGCCAGTGAGGCCCAGAGCTTAAAGGGCTACGCCTATACTCATAGAATCTGGGGTTACAGTACATAACCAATGTTCTATTTCGCATAGGCTTCGCCCTTTAAGGCTGTCGCTGGTGGGTTAAGGGCGAAGCAGGATGTAGTCTCAGCCTCACTGGGTCCATTCGAACACCGTATGAAGCGCCCGCTTGCAGTAAAAAGCATTTTATCCTTCAGCCCTCCATGTGCGTAAATACGCGCTGCGTAAATACGCGCTGCGTAAATACGCGCTGCGTAAGTACGAGCACCATGTACAGATGTGCGCTGCGTAATTTACACATGCTGTGTACATGGGCAACCGGAGAGAAAAGTTCTCGACAGGAAAAAGGGGAGAGGCTGAAAAAACAGTGAACAGATTCAAAATAAATGAACTGATTAGTAATCAAATGAACTGATTGGTAACAGTTTTCATGAACTGATTAGTGACATTAGAACAAAAACCAACAGTCACAAACTTCTGACTGATAACAAATATCTCGCACTATAATTACATGTAGTCAGATGTCAGAAGTTCCATGAAAACAATGAGATTCAATCTGTTAAGGAACCGAGGACAGAATGTATCATGGAGCGAGCCGACACATCACGCAGATAGAAGCGAATAAATGAGCAGGGCGATAACCACGCGGCTACAGTGCAAATATCCTGCATTGTCATACCATTATGCAAGGCTGTCGAGGATGTGATTCCTCTGGTCGAGTGCGCCCTGAGGTTGTCAGGGGGCTCTAAACCTGATGCTCTGTAAGCTTCAGAAATGGCCTCACACAGCCAGTATGACAGGCACTGGGTGGATAACGGGCGACCTGCAGAGGCGTCTCTATAATGCACAAACAAATGTTGAGTCTGACACAGTGTGGACGTGCATGCTATGTAACATGCCAATGCACGCACAGGGCAGAGAAGATGAAAAGATGCTGCTTCTTCTGAATTGTGGGGAGGAGGGAAAAAAAACTCCAACGTTATCGTTCTCGATTTAAATGAACTCGTGATGTTTTTAGGCATAAACGCTGCATTAGGTCTCAGATAAGCTGAACTGCCATCAGCCTGAATCCTGAGGCATGACGGAGCAACAGAGAATGCAGATAAATCACTCACTGTCTTTGAAGATGTCAAGGCCAACAGCAGGGCTGTTTTAAGTGACAAGAATTTAATCAAAACCTGACCTAACGGCTCAAAAGGAGCTTTGATCAGGGCCTGCAGAACCATCGTTAAGTCCCACTGAGGAGTTGGCGTGACACAGGTCTGTGCCTTTGTACACCTTTTAGAAAACGTTTCATCAGCGGGTGATTAAAAACTGTTCTGTCACCGAAGCCTTCGTGACAGGAAGAAATGGCTGCAGCGTTTTAATTGTGCTGAATGCCAGATTTCTGTCCATCAGCTGCTGCAGAAAGGACATCATGCCACCTAGTGGACATAAGATGGCCTCTACACCTTTCTCCGTACACCAGCGCTGAAAGGCTGTCCACTTTGATGTGTACAGTTCTGTGGTGGAGGCAGCACGTGAATCCTGGATCGTGCGCACTACATTCTGAGAGAGACCCATCCTCTCTAAGCGGATCTGCTCAGCGGCCAGACCCAAAGGTGCTGGCCTATTTCTGGGTAACTCCTGATCGCTCCCCCGCCTGGAGGAGAGCGTCCTCCCTCCACGGCAGTTTTCACGGGCGACCCGATAACAGACGTCACAGGATTGGAACCCACGGGGCGCTCACGCGCTCAGGGGCTATAAGAATGGCTGACAGTTCTTCCTCCTGAGCTCGGTTCAGAAACCGTGATATTAGAGGGACTGGGGGGAAAGCGTAAAAGGGCATTTTGGGCCACGGGATGTGGGCAAATGCGTCCACTCCTAACGGTGGTTTGTCTCGTGGGCTCAATGAGTGAGTCCCGTGAGGCAAACAGGTCCCTTGCCGCTTTGCCAAATTTCTCCCATGTCCGAGACATCAGCTCGGGATGGAAGCTCCAGTCCCCGTGGCGCGGACCGCCCCTGGACATTATGTTCGCTCCTGTGTTCAGGATGCCGGGGGTGTACACTGTTCTGATTGAGAGAAGGTTGTTGTGTGCCCAACACAGCAGCTGCCTTGCAATGTGTAACATTCAGGCTGAGTGCACGCCCCCCTGCCAGTTTATGTACGCTACAGATATTTTGTTGACTGTGTGAATCAGAACGTGTTGATTCTGCAACACTGGAACAAAAAGTTGAATCACATTCAAAACTGTGCGGCATTCCAAAACGTTTATATGAGCAGCTGTGTGATGTGGCCACAGCGCCCCCACAGCCTGAGGCGGGCACGTTCCTTCCCAACCTGACAGGGACGCGTCAATGAAAACTGAGACATGTCACGTAGGTCTGCTGACAGGGATTCCCTCCAACAGAGTGAGGGGATTTCCCCAATGTCTCAGGTCGGTTCCCACGGAAAGGGACACAGAGATCATCCGCCTCTCTTGCCTTACCGGATCTATGCACAGACGAGCGAACCATCTCTGATGATGTCTTTTGTGGAATAAGCCCAGCGGGGCCACCATGAGAGCTGACGACATTGTTCCTAACAGTTTCATGATGGAAACAACTGTCACTACTTTGCCCGGTTTTATGTGGCGGAGCTGGTCTTTTGGAGCTTTGGTTTTTGTCTGTGATAAATGAGTCCTCATAGTGACTGAGTTTAGCTCTACTCCCAGATAAACAATCATCTCCATTGGCTCCCTGTCAAATCAAGAATAGATTTCAAAATCTTACTTCTAACCTACAAAGCTCTCAACAACCTGGCTCCATCTTATATTACAGATCTTATTGTTCCATATTTTCCTAACAGAGCGCTTTGCTCTCAGACTGCAGGTTTACTTGTGGTTCCTAAAATTTACAACAACAGAATGGGAGGCAGATCTTTTATTTATCATGCTCCTCTCTTGTGGAACCAACTGCCAATCTCTGTCCGTGAGGCTGACACATTATCCAGTTTTAAAACTAGGCTTAAGACTTTCCTTTTTGCTAAATCCTATACTTAGGGACGGCTTGGGTTTCCTGAGCTGTCTCTTAGTTATGCTGCTATAGGCTTAGACTGCTGGAGGACAAACTGACCACAATTTTCACTCTACTTCTGTCTTTAATTACTCTGCTCAACCTGTTTTGTATTTGTAATTATTTTTTCTATCCTTAACATGTGTTTTTTTGTCTTTCAGATACACCTGGACTTATACCTGGACCTACCATTCTGTGTTCGTCTGTCTCTCCTCCCTGTCCTCTCAACCAGCCTTCTTCCTTTTAAAAGGGAGTTTTTCCTTTCCACTGTTGCCACTGTGCTTGCCCAGGATGAGAGACTGCATCAAGCCAAGATTCATCTTGTCTGCTGGATTCCTTAGATAATAATAATAATAATCATTTTATTTAAAAAGCGCCTTTCAGATAGAGATCTACTAATTGGCTTTTATGTATGTTTCTTTAAGGTGCCATGAGACAACTTTGTTGTGATTTGGTGCTATATAAATAAACTGAATTGAATTGAATCTGGACCGGAAGAACCGAGCCCTTCTCCCAGTTTATGGCGAAGCCCAGGTTTAACAGGTGGGACGTCAGCGCGTTGGTTTGCGCCACTGCTTCCTGTCTGGATTGAGTCAGCAGCAGCAGATCGTCCAGGTAAAACATGATACTCATCCCCGCTTTGTGTAGCGGCTACAGAGCCGTCTCCACGCATTTTGAGAACATACGTGGTGCGAGGTAATAACCGAACAACAGTCTGTTGTGCTGATACTGGGTCCCTTGAAAAGAGAAGCGCAGGAACTTTCTGCGTTTTGGAATGATTGGAATGTTGAAAACGAATAAATCCAAGATGGGTCTCATCCCTCTGGTCCGTTTCAGAACCAGGAAGTAACGCGAGTAAAACCCTGTGTTTTCCTCTCCGTCTGGAACCCTGGAAATTACATTTTTCACCAGTAGTTCCTGAACTTCTGCGTGGGAGGACGAGATCTGTTCTGGAGATGACAGAACCGACTCTATAATCCCTCTGAATGGAGGGGGTTCAGCTGCGAACTGCAGCGTGTAACCTTTGCTGATAAGACGATGCATCCAGCTGTTCAGGGAGCACGCTCACTGCCACTCTGTGTAATGCTCTGGGAGCGGGCACGTGTCTTTGTGATGTGTC